AAAGACAGTTTAAATTGAGGACGTTTTTCCCCTTAGATGCTCAAATGGAGGCATTTAATAATAAGCAGGGATGCTCTCAGTATGGTTTAAGATCTCAGCACATTTGTCCTCTGTAGGGCCGCAGGGCTTAATTTTGATAAATAAGACTCTACAGCAGAACCAAGATGGGTTAATTTACTATCTAGTAACGGATATTCCATCGTGGGAAAGATCCTCCTTTTTGATCAATGGACATCTCATCTGACTGCTGCAATGGTGTTCTTCAAAAATTGGATTTAAGCAATTCATTTAGGAGAAACGGAATGAACATGCATTTTGCATTTAGTATTAAGGGCGTTCACATTACTTCACCCTCAGAGAAACCCTACCAGGTATTAATTCATTTTTCCATTTGTCGTCCCAACCATCTTCGAATTCTAGCCAAGTGCCTGTTATCTGCCCAGCACTGCGGTCTGTGCTGGGAAAACTATGATGTACCAGACAGAAACAGTCCCTGACCTCATGATTTCCTTCAGTGCCTGGAGGAGGGAACAGATACTAAACTAATAATCACACAGATTATTAATTATGACTGGCCTACCAAGGACAATTCATTTGAGATTTGAGGCTGGGCAGGAATTAGCCACATGAAATCAAAGAGCATCATAAACAGAGGAAAAGCATCTGAGAAGTCCTTGAAAAAGGATGGTGCTTGGGGCTTTGAAAAAGTGGGAAAAGCCGATGGGCTCTGTGGCATTGCTAAGGACTGGGGACTTGATCTGAGAGCAGTGGAAAGCATCTGAAGGGCTGAAGCACCACCCCCATGGGGCCAAATGAACATCATGGTGGCTAGGATTTGATGGCAGTGGAGACAAACAGGCATGGACAGACTTGCCCAATATTCAGAAGGCAGAATCAGCAGGATTTAGGAGTGACTGAATTTAGAGGTGAGTTTTCGTGCATGTTTTCTGCAGGAGCAATTGGGCAGATGATGATGTTATTTATGGAAACAGAGAACAACAATGGGGGGGCAAGTCTGGAGGGTAAGAGGATGAGCTCAGTTTTGCAGATGTTGAGTTTGAGGTGTCTGGGAAGGACCCACGTGAAGCCAATGAGCAGACAGTTGGATACATGGGTTTGAAGGTCAACAGAGAAGCCTCGATTGGATTTACGTAGCTATAGGTGGTCAGCTCATACACAGTGCTGGGGGTGGATTAGATCGCTTAGGGAGATAGTGTAAAATGAGGACAGGGTTAGGACTGATGGGTCTTGAGTAGTTTAAGGTGGGGCAGAAGAAGAATTACTACAGGAGGTTAAAAAAGAGTGGTCAGAGAAGTTGGGGGGCGGGGTGGGGGACTTGGAGTGTGTGATATCTGGAAAGCCGAGAGAGGAGATTGGTTCAAGGAGGAGTGGTCAGTTGTGTTGGGGTTGCTGAAAGGTGGACTAAAAAGAGGGGTTTACAGTAGTTTGATTTAGCAACACAGAGGCCGCTGGTGAGATTAGCAAGAGCATTTTCCACCAGGTAGCAGAGGCAGAAAGAAGCCTGACTGAAATGTGCTGAAGAGTGAAAAGGAAGTAGGAAAATGGAGGCAGCAAATACGGTCCACCTTTTAGAATAGTTGCTTGTCAGATGGGCCACTAGCTGGAGGGGGATTTGGAGTTGTAGGGGGGTTTTAAATTTGATTTTGTTTCTTTGAAGAAGGGAGCAATACTGATGAGAAGAAAACAGTAGAGCAGAAGAGAATATGGCATAATCACGCACCTCTCTGGTCTTCGTCCTGGGTTCCTGGCACAGAACTTGGTATTTTCCAAGCTATCAGAGTGTCTTTGTTATTCAGCCCCTAGGAACACATCTGAGTTTATGCAAACAAGGTGGATCAGGATGGGTGCTGGTCACCAGAAGACCAACCGACTGATTAGAGGGTTGAGGCTTTGGGCCAGCCTGACATCGGCAGAGTAGAGAACGGGGGCTAGAAATTGAGTTCAGTCACGTGGTCAGTGATTTGATCAATCATGTCGATGAAGTGAAATCCCAATAAAAAAATCTGGACAGTGGTGCTTTCCTGGTGGTGAATACATACATCCATGTGCTGGAAGGGTGATGCACCCTGATTCCAGAGGACACAGAAGCTCTTCATCTGGGACCCTCCTAGACCTCACCTTATTCATCTTCCATTTGGCTCGTCCTGATGTGTATCCTTTACTTACTTTTTTAATTTTTAAAAATGTTTCTTTCTTTCCTTATTGTTTGGTTGCGTTGGGTCTTCACTGCTGCGTGTGGTCTAGCTGCAGTGAGCGGGGGCTACTCTTCGTTGTGGTGCATGGGCTTCTCATTGCAGTGGCTTCTCTTGTTGTGGAGCACGGGCTTCTAGGCGAGTGGGTTTCAGTAATTGCAGTAGGCGGGCTCAGTAGTTGTGGCACATGGCCTTAGCTGCTCCGCGGCATGTGGGATCCTCCCGTACCATACCAGAGGTTCCCCCCACCGAACCCGTGTGCCCTGCGTTGGCAGGCGGATTCTTAACCACTGCGCCACCAGGGAAGTCCCAGTGTATACTTTATAATAACATTGTAACAATAAGGATAGCACTCTCCCAAGTTTTGTGAGTTGAACTGTTGAACCTAAGGGGGTTCTGGGAAACCCCCAGATTTGTGGCCGGTAGGTAAAAAGTTTGGGTGGCCTGGGGACCCCTGAAGTGTGGCTGGCATCTGAAGCAAGGGCAGCCTTATTAGGACTGTGCCCTTTTGGGGTCTGAGCTAACTCCAGGGGCAGCATCAGAGTTGTGCTGCAGGACTCCAGTTGGGGCAAGAATAGGGGACGAGAGCATGCATGGAAGAATCGGCCCTTGTTAGGAAGTAACACAATAGACATGGGCTAGGATGGGTATAGATGCAGGTAAGTCACTGGGTTTGGTGGTGGAAAGTTGATGGTTCCTTTTTTTTTTTGCTGAGAGTAAAGGGGCTGGAGATTGGAAATCTGAGGAGAGTGAAGAATGTCTGAAACAATTAGAGAAACTAGGAGATTACACTGACTGGGATAGGTTTTCTCAACATTACTGACAGTTGGGACTGGCAAATTCTTTGTTGTTCAGGGCTGTCCTGTGCATTGCAGGACAGGCGGCATCCCTAGCCTCTACCCATTAGATGACACAAGCACCCCCCAAAGCATGACAACCAAACATGTTTTCAGACATTGCCAAGTCTTCCCTGGGGGTCCAAATCTCCCTTGGTCGAGAACCATTGGTCTAGAGAAACACAGTAAGAGCCACAGGCAGTATTAAGGGCCCAGTCGTGGTTGATGTCGACAGATCTGTGATGGACTCAGTGTCTACCATATGCCGAGCCCTCTAGGAGGAAAGGATGTCCCAATCCCTCTCCCCACGCTGGAGAAGCCTCATTCCCCCTACCCTCTCCTTTTCTCAACCTCCAGATTTCCTATATACTAGGTTAATGGTGGGCAGAGTCCTGTGGGTTGACAGCCAGCCCAGTCATTCTGCTTCCTTCCTTCCTTCCTTTTCCCCTCCCTCCTTTCTCGCTCGCTTTTCTTCTTCCTCTTTTTCTTTAAATTCCTGGTGTTATAGTTGCCTCTGGCTGGGGCTGAAACTTAGGGGAGAGAGATGCCCATTTCAAGCTTTGAGTTTAAACCACATGCTCTAGCTTGTTCTAACAGGTAGCCTCGAATTGGGAGTTATGAACACCAGCCCAGCTGATCAAACATGGAATTCTAATTTGCCATGGTTCCTGTGTCTATATCTTTCTCTTGGGAACTTCATGGTAGGGATGCCTGTGTCTGGATGTGGGCTCAGTGGTGCCCTATCAAAATAGCATCTCACAGCACCCCCAAATCTCCAATGACCTCTGACACACACACATAACTGGTAGAGCTAAGGTCCTGGCAAGATGTGGGTTCTGTTTCCACCCAAGTGGGTAGACTGTGATTCAGTTCTGACACCTCCTGGAGTTGGCACCAGACCCTACAGGTTTAAGGTACAACCTTCACAAGGCTGCCTCCACTTCATTGCCAGCCACCCACCACTTCTGACCAGCCTTTATAAACTGAGAGGTTCCCATGACCCCTCAGGTTCAATAATTCAACACAATGACTTGTAGAACTCAGGAAAGCTCTACACTCACCCATTACAGTTTAATTATAATGGACGCCCACCGGGCGAGGTCTGGGTGGGTCCTGGACGTGGACCCCCTTCTCTGTGGAGTCAAGGCATGTAACCCACCTGGTTCCTTGACTTGTTCACCAACCAGGAAGCTCCCCCAAGCCTTGGTGTCTAGAGTTTTTATTGGGGTTTCATTAAGAGGTACAATTGATGAAATCACTGGCCACAATGGTTCAAGTTCTTCCAACCATTATGTATCATAAAGACAATGTGTTTGAATCACAGCTCAACCACTGAGAAGTATTACGTACTAACTTCTCCAAGCTTCAGTTCTCTCAACTGTGGAGTGAGGATAATAATGTATACCTTGCAGGGTGGTTGTAAGGACACGAAATAATGTGTATATAAAGCAATGCATAGTACCCACTCCATCCCTCAATGTCTTGCCCTCCTTCTTAAAAATATAAACCAGTAGCTGTTATATTACCATTAAAATGTGATGTCCAGAATTGGGTACGGGGCTCTAGCCATGACGTTATTAAGGCAAAACACCAAGGAATGATCTCACTGTCGGTGCGAGCAGCCTGCTGGGCACTAATGGAGCCTCAGACAAACATCACATTTATACTGTGATGAGACACAGCTCCCTACAAGCTCTCCCTAAGCTGGTGATCACCATCTTGTCCACAGGCATATCATGAAAAAAGGGTCAGAGCTTTGCTAAAGGTCAGTTATAAAGAAATAGATACAAGTGTGTGTGTGGGGGGGGGCGGGATCTTAAATTTGACCATCAGGAGGGAATGTATTCTGTACAGTGTCTACAAAGTTCTGTTTCTATGAAATACATTAGGTAAGTTTGAACACGACCTCTGAGCTTTGAACAGGTGTCAGACTCTCCCCTCTGCAAGGTACCTGTAGAAAACGGGGCCGGTGGGGCTGCGTTGACAGTGCCCAGGTTTGTCCACCGAGAGGCAAGCCCTGCCCTGGCCATGGCACGCTGATAGCTATCATAGAGCGTCTTTCCATACTAGGGAGAGAAAACAAAAGAAGCAACAGAGTAACCCCAAATTCTGCACTCAACTGCAAACTGCAAATTCAGGGAAAAAAGGACTTCATCACTACTCTTTTTATTCCTTTCCTGAGATTTTTTTTTAGTAGACGTATTTCAATGAAAAAAATCCACAAATCATGTTTTCATATGTTAAATAATTTTCCAGATTAGCAGAGTCAGGTAATACTTTCACCTCCCCATTAGAGGAGAGCTTTAGCCACGCACTGTGATGACATACATCTTTATATAATTCTACTGCAGATTGTATCTAGTGTTTCTTAATTATGCACGACACTTGCAAAGCTCTCCATACATCAATATCTGAGATGTCTCGTGTGAAAGTAAATCCTCGACTCTCAGGTCATGGGAGAGGTCCATGTATCAACCACTCTCACTTACTTAAAAAAACCAATGGGCAAATAAGGTAATATCTATGGCATTGACCCCTTAATGGCATTGACTCAGTAAGAATGGATCAGCTGTTTCTCAGTAGCACAAAGACTGGACCCAGGTCAGGAGGCTGGTTAGCAAAGATAGGGTGAGTCCAAACGCTCTCTCACCTTGGCGATCCTGATTCCCGTAACCCACTGATTTAGCATTCTTGCGTCATCACAGCAGAGATACTTGATATACTGGGACTCCTTCTGAATTTGGGGATGCTAGAAAAAGCCATTTCAAAGACCGTTTATAAGCTGTTCACTTATTAGCACCTTTCAAAAACATTTAAAAAATTCTCACAGTGTATGAGATTTCCTGAGATGGTGGCCAAAATTACCGGTAGCAATTTTAGGATTAGGAACAGAAGTATATATTTTACAGAAGCTAAATTTGGAAAGAATTTAAGAAAGCAGTGACATAATTTATCACAAGCATTTTTTACTATATTATCAATAATCATTTTCATTCCTGC